AAAAAAAATAAAATGTGAAGACAGCCCAAAGAAATATCATCACATACATTATTGTCAAGTAAAGTTTTTAGTGAAGCAATTTTCATTCACTTAAGCATATGACTAGATGATAATAAATAACCTAAATCCATACACTATCAAAAAACTATGTTTCAAAAATGGTATGGAATTGTGAACATTATGTTCAAGTGCTTAAAAATTTAACAAGAGTCTAGATAGAATTCTGGATAACTCAGCGTTGCTAGGTATGCAGGTCCTAATATAAGTAGTAGTTGGCAGGTAGAGATGCTTCTCTCGGTCAACTTTGCAAAGGGAATGTAGTTTGATGGACCAATTACAAGAGTATATCAGAGCCTTGTTATCAAAAGTCATGCGTTGCTAAGGCCTTGGACTACAGTAAGAAGTAAATGATAATAAACCAAACTTTTCAATCGACCAATCCAGAAATATAAGTAAAAGTTCAACAGAGAACAAGTACACCAATCTATCAGTGCATGAATGCATAATATTACCTATCAACAGAGTGGTATTGTGGTAATGTGTGTTGCTAAGGCCCATGGACAGCCTTCTTCTTACATTCTTAAAATAAAAATGACGTAATAATAAAACAAACCTGTCAATCAACCAATTGAGAAATACAAGTAACTTAGAGAGAGAACAAATACCTATCTACCACTGCATGAATGCATTGTATGACCGATTCACAGATTGAGCTCCGAACATCAATATTTTTCCCCAAAATAAAAAAGCAACCTTATACATTTGTGTGTGTGTTTTGTGGGGGGGGGGGGGGGGGGGGGGGGGGGGGGGAGGGAGAATATGGATTCTATCTCCAATGTAATCACTAATCCATCATACCCTTGAATTGATAAAATAGCACTAGGAAAGCCACAAGCGATAATATCCAAAGAGCAGGCAAGGGAGATGGAAGAAGACCATGAAGAAACTAAAGAAGCACCTAGACTAAGGACAACCAAGTCAAAGAGAAAATCGTTCTCGCGATCCTTATCTGCTGCTGATGGAAACAATTCAAGTATGAAACACGAAAATGTATCAATTTGACCCTATTTCTTCATAAATATCAGATTTACTTAAGTGAATTCACTTTTTATTAGGAGAAATGGCGCTTCAACGACTGAGTAGTAGATCCAATGCCAATGGATTTAGTAAAAGGGAAGATTCAAGTCTTGAGGCAACAACTGGTGTTGCTCCAAAGAGAGGAATGGTTCTTCCATTCACTCCTCTTGCCATGTCGTTCAACAGTGTAAATTACTTTGTGGATATGCCCCCGGTAAGAATCTATTATCCTCTTTCATATTGTCTGTGACTCTCCTTTTTCCTTATGTTACTATATCTGTAAATATGTAGCTTACTTATATTTCTAAGAAAATCAGTTTCAGATCAAGTTACTTTAGAGACTTTAGAACCAGGTACACTTAAATCCCGATGTTGATTAGAAACTCTCTTGATTTCAACAGGAAATGAAGCAACAAGGAGTGACAGAGGACAAACTTCAGTTACTTCAGGAAGTAACTGGTGCATTCAGGCCAGGAGTCCTGACTGCATTGATGGGAATCAGCGGGGCTGGAAAAACGACATTAATGGATGTTCTGGCAGGAAGAAAGACAGGTGGCTATATTGAAGGCGATATAAGAATTTCTGGATTTCCAAAGATACAGGAAACCTTTGCTAGGATCTCCGGATACTGTGAACAAAATGATATCCACTCGCCCCAAGTCACTGTCCGTGAATCTTTAATTTACTCAGCATTCCTTCGACTCCCTAAAGAGATTAGCAAGGAGGAAAAGATTGTGAGAAACTATTGTTCACCTAATTTATTCCAAAAATAAAATGAAGTTGAAGTGCTAAGACCCCTTTTCTTTTTGTTTACTTTTCAGCTTTTTGTGGATGAAGTGATGGATCTAGTTGAACTAGACAATCTTAAGGATGCAATCGTGGGGCTTCCAGGAATTACTGGTTTGTCCACAGAACAAAGAAAGAGATTGACAATAGCAGTTGAGCTTGTTGCCAATCCCTCAATCATATTCATGGATGAACCAACTTCTGGTCTTGATGCAAGGGCAGCTGCCATTGTCATGAGGACGGTTAGAAACACAGTAGACACAGGGAGAACTGTTGTTTGCACAATTCATCAGCCTAGCATAGATATCTTTGAAGCGTTTGATGAGGTAAAATCAATCTCTCTCTTTTTTTCACTCTCACTTTATTTCTGTCTCCCTATGTGTGTATGTGTGAATGTCTCTGATAAATCATATCGCATCTTGCATCAGCTGCTTCTGTTGAAAAGAGGAGGACAAGTAATCTACGCAGGACCATTGGGCCGGAATTCTCACAAAGTCGTTGAATATTTTGAGGTATTTCATATTCTTGAAATTTTTGGCTTTATTCGGTAAAAGGAAAAAATAAGCATACAATATTTATTGCAGGCAATTCCTGAAGTCTCAAAAATTAAAGAAAAATATAATCCAGCAACATGGATGCTAGAAGTGAGCTCAGTTGCAGCAGAAGTCCGGCTTGGAATTGATTTTGCCGAACATTACAAGTCATCAGCCTTGCATGAGTATGTAAAAAATTCATTACTCTTCGCTTATGTGGTATTAAAAATTTTGGATATCAGTCTAATATGCAAGGTTGTGAGCAGACGAAATAAGGCTCTGGTGAAGGAGTTGAGTACACCCCCTCCAGGGGCAAAAGACCTCTATTTCCCAACACAGTATTCTCAGTCCATGTGGAGGCAGTTCACATCTTGCCTGTGGAAGCAATGGTGGTCTTATTGGAGATCTCCTGATTATAACCTTGTTAGATACTTCTTCACTTTGGCTTGCGCACTCATGGTAGGGACGATTTTCTGGAAAGTAGGCACTAAAAGGTTTGTCGTTGTTTCTTATTCAATCTAAAATCTCTCTCAGCACATATGACAGGACACAAAGTCCTTTGCTTACTCCTTTGTATTTATGGTTCAGGGATAGCAACACTGATCTAATTACAATTATTGGTGGAATGTATTCTGCTGTGATGTTTGTTGGAATTAATAATTGCTTCACGGTACAACCAATCGTGTCAGTTGAAAGAACAGTGTTTTATCGGGAAAGAGCTGCTGGAATGTACTCTGAATTACCATATGCCATGTCACAGGTGAGGAAGAGGCTATTCCTATCATCTAATCAACATTAATAATTAATTTCTATTCCTAATATGTGCCTACAAAATATTAGGATCACTTGTATGTAAAAGTTGAGATTCCAATATCTTTTTTCTGGTTTCACCTGATCTTTGAGTTCAACAAATAAATTTGCGGCACAGGAGTAGGCAGTCAAAAGACTGATGAATTGGTGTCCAGTTTCATAGATCATGATTTTTCCTCATTTCCAACATTTATAAGTATACATGTTGGCGCTAGTTTTCAAGAAATAGATACCCGAGCATGGAAAGCAGTATATGTATTGTCAACACTTCATGCAATCTTATTTATTGAGCTTTAATTATGTGGTGCGCAGGTCATTGTTGAGATACCATATGTATTTCTTCAAACCACATATTACACAGTTATAGTGTATGCCATGGTGAGCTTTGAATGGACAGCAGCTAAATTCTTCTGGTTCTTCTACGTTGCCTTTTTTACCTTCCTCTACTTCACATACTACGGGATGATGACTGTTTCCGTCACACCAAATCACCAAGTAGCGGCCATCTTTTCATCTGCTTTCTATGCACTCTTCAATCTGTTCTCTGGGTTCTTCATCCCCAAACCGGTGAGTTTATTTTCTACACAAGAAATGACTTTTTTTTTTTTTTTTTTGTGATAATTTGATACATTAACAGAGTCTTGATATTTTGTTATTTCAAAAATTCAGAGCATTCCCAAGTGGTGGATATGGTATTACTGGATTTGCCCGCTGGCATGGACAGTTTATGGATTGATTGTGCCACAATATGGTGATATTGAAAAAACCATTGAAGTACCGGGAATGTCTTATAGACCCTCCATTAAATGGTATGTGGAAAACCATTTTGGATATGATCCGAGTTTCATGGGGCCAGTTGCTGGAGTGTTGTTGGGTTTCACAGTCTTCTTCGCATTTATGTATGCCTACTGCATTAAGAAGTTGAACTTCCAAATCAGATAGAGGATATATATCTTAATTATAGTTAAAACTGACTTGTGAATATGTCTTCGAAACCATCTCAGATTTGAAAATGATGGCCAAATGTATGATAGTGGGTTGTATTTATAGAGTAAGGATGATATTTCAGTTTTGCAAGTTAAATATACACCACTAATCAGTGGATTGCATACACTGTAATAAGGGATCTAATTAACCATGGGTTATATCTGTATGTTGAGTTCATATTTGTGACTCAAGAATCATAGCAGCTTGTGACCGGAGATGCCACCGGAACACCTTCAATCTTTGGGTCCTCTCCGATTCTATTTCTCTTTCAATTTCTTTTGAAATAGTCATTCACCATGAATTTATGTAGGATCTATTATTCCAGCTTTAAAAAAAAGTGGGATCTGTCGTGTATAAGTTTTCTACTAACAACATGTGGTGGGTGATTAAATTGGAGAGAACCAGAGAAGAGTTAGAATTGGAGATAAATCAATCCTTGTTGATGTGTGGTTATTCGTTCTCTTAGTAATATTATCTATCATTCTCTTATGTTATTTTTTTTTATAATCGTCTCTCACACATTTTTCGCATCCTGATACGAATATTCTCACATACACACACACCCATGACCAACCTCACACATATGCATACCACACACATTAAATCACATATGTATGTAGTATACCTCAAAAATTAATAATTTTTTGAAGTTCGATGAAATTATTAATAATTGTTCATTTTTTATACATTTTAAAAAATTGCAACAAAAATTATAATCCAACAAAGCCAATCTTATGACGCAATGCATGAGCTCTTCTATTCTGACGATGCATCTCACACGCAAATTGAGACATGTTCAACCATTATATATGTAGACTATGGTACGAGGTGCCACGTATCATGACAAAAATTTAACAAATAATTAACAATATTGTCAGTCAAATATAAAATCTATGCATTTTTTTTTTTACTAAATTGGACTGATATTCTTCTTTGGCCTTGACGTTGACCATATCATGCAATCATAATTTAAGGATTTTTTTTTCTCAATAAAAGCTCCTTGATGTGTACAATTTGTTCATTGTCATTGTGCTTGAAATATTTTAAATTCAATCATAAATTTAGATGTTTTAAATTTAAATTTTGATAACTTCTTAGAGTTATATCATGAGAGATTTATTTTCATAAATATCCTAATCCCGACATAGATGACTTATTTTTGACTGGACCTAAAAAAAATAGTTGAGATTAGCATAACTTGATCTAAACATTTCTTACGATAAAAAAATATATATATATATATTTTAAATTCAAAGGGAATTCATAGGAGTTAATCATGACGTTGAGCTCTTGAATCCTTCTACGTGCTGTCTGTATCCAGACGAAGAGGTTGACTTTTTGTTCTTTAATACAGACTTCACTAAAAGGCTAGTCAATAATATAAGATACAGAGAAATTATTGGCATTTCAATTGAACGGTTCCAAATTCGATATGCAACAAATTAACTTGAATTATACAATCAGTAGGTTATACAAATTTTCACTAATTATCTAATAATTATTAATTTAGGATCTAAAATTTAATAAAAATTAAATCTAAATTTAATTTAAAAAATACAATCTTAGTTTGATAGAATTATGTTATTTTTAAAATTCGTTTCTTCTCGGGTAACTCTTTGAAGCTTTTTTTTTTATCACTAATATTTTTATTTTTATTTTAGTGTTAATCACAAATTACACCTTCAAAAAATCTCTCAAATCTTAATTTGTACCTTAAAAATAAAAAATATCAATTTATACCAACAAAAATATAAATATGTATCAATGTGTACTTGAAGCTAAAAATCGTGTAAAACTATACGGATAAATTATATTTAGATTCTCTCACATTTGAAATATTATACCTTCACCCCTAAAAATCTAAATATGACTAAAAGTATTTCACCAATTGGCGCATCTAAATAATTTTGTTAAAGTAATGTATTGCATTGGATATAAAAAATGTTATATAATACCATTATTCTTGAACATTATATAATATCTGCATTATATTGAACATTCAAATAATAAGCTTAATTTTGAATTTTAGAGTATAACAGACCTACAAAATAAAGGATAGTACGAAAATTATAGAAATTATAGTTGTTTATTAGGATGACATCATATTTTTAATTGTTACATTAATGGATATTGATGACAGAATGTTATATGTTAAATGTGCACAAACGTCAAATGTGTAAGTGTAATATCTATATAATAAAGTAGTTTACAATTTAAATTTCAAAAGATAAACAAAATAACTATTGCTATTCGGGGTTGAGATGCATTAAATTTTACTTTAAAGTTAATTTAACAGCTAATATTAACATATTAAATTTAATAAGAAAATATGTCTTAAAAGGGTGTGTTGAGTGACTTTTTAAAAGTAGTTTTAGAAATTACTTCTCATAAATACTATAAAAAAATAGTATTTAAAACCGCACTACTACTACAGTCACCGCCACTGTCGCCGCCGCTGCCACCTCCACCACCATCATCGCCGTCGTCGCCACCATCACCCGCCACTATCGTCGTCGCCGTCACCGCCACCACCCCCACCACCACTACCGTCACCGCCACCATCACTACTCCTGCCACCACCACCATCACTATCGCCACCGCCATTGCCACCACCACCACCACCGTCACCCCACCCACCACTATTGCCTCCACCTCCGCCACCATCACCATCGCCGCCACCATTGTTGCTGGCATCAGCACCATCATCGTTGTTGGCCTTGCCGCCCCCACAACCACCACGGTCATTGTCACCCACCATAACCATCACCGTCCCTTACCACACCTTACTATGAATCGATGTTTAATTTATTTATCTCTTTTATATGTTTGTGATTTGATTTTTGGATATAAATACAAATATTGATGATGCACAAAATTGATTTGCACGTCATCTGTCAATTAAGTAATACAAAATGCAGTAAAGTAGAGGGAGATAAAAAACAATGTTTATAGTGGTTCGATCAATATTACCTACGTCCACTTTGAATGGCAAAGGTCACCGGAATTTTATTATCTTTGGTGTGGAGGGAGAGTACATGATTACAAGCTTTGAGAGGGGAGGAGAGAATTATACTCAAATGAGTCTGATGCCCACCAAGTGTTGGTAAGACTTACAATTTATAGTTGAACACATAGTAATTGGATGGCTAGTATGACGGTCATAAAGGATCGGGTGACTTTAAGAGTAATTAAGTGGCTTGACGACCTCTCCTCTCCTCAACCGACAAGAAAATTATGATGCACTCCAAAGGACTTGGTAAATAGATGTGGGAAGGTTGATTCTCTCCAGGTCGTTAAGGATAGGCTCTTGGATGCTCCCTTAGTGGTGCAGCTCCCTGATGGGCTTGACTGGTCTTGGCACTCATAGGGCCTGTTGGATCTTCTATAGGCTTGAGCTTTACCTATGGATCTTCTATAGGCCATTTGTCCCTGATCCATCATTTACCCTCCAATACCCTGCGTGACGGAACTTGAAAATGAGGGCATTCAGGCTGAATTTGAGTTTTTGGCTAACCGGCATAATTGAAAAAATTTCAGGAGGCCTGAACTTGTGTTTTTAGGCCTTTTTTGAGCTTTCAACAACATCAATCACAGCCAAAGGCTGTGTTTCTTATAAGGCTCGCCGAGAGCTTCGATTTGATATATTATAAGCCTCATTTCGAGCAAGGGATTAAAAGTTACGGTCAAACTTCGAGCAGAGAGCTAGGCGAGCAGTTTGGGCGAGCAGCAACTTCCAGGCGAGTAGGGCACTATTTCGGGCGAGCAGAGCATTGTTCTGGACGAGCAGAATTTTTTTTTAAAACTTCGGGAGGCCAAAACACTTATTTCTGGGCTTTTTTTTGGACTTTTTTTTTTTTGAAAAGCCCATTATCTATGGTAATAGTTTTGCTCAGCTCGTCGAGAGCTTCGATTTGGTATATAATAAGCACCATTTTGAGTTACATAGCAAAAGTTATGATCGAAATAGCGAGCAGTTGGCTTTTGGACGAGCAAGGCACCTCCTTGGCTAGCAACCGCATCCTGGGTGAGCATACAACCTCCTAGGCATTTTTTTTTTTTGTTAAATTCGGGAGGTCAAAACTGTTGTTTCTAAGTCTTTTTTAAACTTTTTACACCATCAATCAGAGCCAAAGATTATGAGTCTTGTAGGGTTTGTCGAGAGTTTTGATTTGATATATAATAAGCCCTATTTGGAGTCACAGAGTAAAAGTTGCGATCGAAACGGCGGACAGGGAGTCGGGTGCGCGTTTTTGGGCGAGCAGACCACCTCCTGAGCGAGCATACAACTTCTTGGGCAATTTTTTTTTTTTTTTTGAAGAGCCTCATTCCATACTATTTTGAGTGAGAAACAGATCTCTTCTAGAAATTCTCCAAGAACACATAGGTGAGATTTTTCAACCCAATATTTCGAGCAATGTCGAATCTCGATGGAGAGCCCAGAGAAATTAATGTTGTTGGTGTGGAGGTGCTTGGGGCGTTCGCCTGTGTGGCCTGTGATGGGCGAGCAGCCCCTGTGGTTTGTAATGGGCGAACAGCTCCCGTAGTCCGCGATGGGCAAGCAGCCCCTGAGCTTTGATATAGGCGAGCGGGCCCTAAGCTTTGTAATGGGCGAGCAACCCCTGAGTTTTGAGATGGGCGAGTAGTCCATGAGGTTCGCAATGAGCGATCTGCTCATGTGGTTAGCGAGCAGATTGGGCGCGGTGAGGAGGCGACTGCTAGGCCTTGGGCGTGCAACCATCCTTGAAGCTCTTAGGTTCTGCTCGAGGGGGCGCTAAGATGCCTAAGGCAGTGGACAACATCCTTGAAGTGTTTGGGTGTTGTTCGAGGGGCACCCAAGGAACTGGGCGTTGCTGGAGGGCGCGCTAGTACCCAGGAGCAGGTGTCAGATGGATGAGACCCCGATTGTTAACATTCAATCTAAGGTAGTCCCTCGGGTTGCAAACGATTTGAGTTTCAAGATCCTGGCTAGAGATGGTAAAAATAATGTTATTTCAAACATTTAAAATATCTAACATAATTACCTGAAGAGAGGTAGGCTGCTTACGCAAGAGCAAAGACAGAGTTTGAGAATTGCTCGTGAGAGAGTTTTTGAGATCAAACTTTTGGCAACCTATGAGAGAGTCCTTAAGCTTGAGATATAGATTGCCTGTGTTGAGAATATTGTAGAGGCCAAGCTTTTAGGCGACCCGCAAGAGAGCCACTAAACTAGGAATGTAGGCTACCTGTTTGAGAACAATGTAGAGGCCGAGCTTTTTGGCGACTCAGGAGAGAGCCACTAAGCTAGGGATGTAGACTACCTGTTTGAGAATAGTGTAGAGGCCAAATTTTTGGCGACCCGCGAGAGAGCCGCTAAGCTAAAGATGTAGGCTGCCTGTTTGAGAATAGTACAGAGGTCAAGCTTTTGGCAATCCGCAAGATAATTCACCTCGCCTAGACCTGTTGATTTTCTCAACATTCATATATTTTTGAGTTTTTACCAATAGTTCTGGCATGCTCTTTGGTGGTCGCTTTATCACTGAGAAGAGGAAGTTTGATGAGCGGAGGCCTCCCAAGAAGGCTGTTATAGTTACTTTATCATCGGGCTCCTTAACCTGGAGGACCTCCTCGTTAAAACTAGTGAGGTAGCTCCTTAGGCTCTTGTTTCAGTCTTGCTTTATGCTGAGTCGGTGGATGATGGGCTTCTGGTGGCAGCACCCTCCGATAAAGTGTAACACGAAAAACTTGCTCAGCTCAGCAAATGAGGCAATGGAAGCTGGGGAGAGCTTGGAGAACCATTGTTGAGCGAATCCCTTCAAGGTGGTTGAAAATGCCCTGCACATGATCTCATTGGGGACATTGTGTAACTGCATTAGAGTTTTATAAGTTTCGAGGTGATCAAGTGAGTCCTTCGTACTGTCAAAGGTTTCGATGGATGATATTTTGAACTTTTGGGGAAGCAGGTAGTTCACCACGTCAGGTATAAAGGGTGTGTCAGTTCGCCTAACAAGGTAGTCCAATGTCTCGGGTCCTTATACTTTCATAGTGTTGAAGATGTCGCCTAGTTGATTTTGCACCTCTTTTATTTTTTCGTTATAGTGGTTAGGAGCTTATTTGGAATTATCTTGGAAAAGACTGCCATGCTCCATGCTTTGGTTCTCACCCTCGTCCTCTTGGAAGAGAGGGTCTCCACCATGAGAAGGGGGAGCTGGAGGAGGAGGTGGAGGTCCCTCGTGGGGAGCTCTCCTGTGTTGGGTGCCTAATGGGGCTCCCAATGGTAGGGCACCCAAGAGGGCTCCAAATGGGGCGCCTAGAAGAGGAGCACCCATGTGGGGAGCTCCTTGACGCCTAGGGTGTGGAGCTCCTCGAGTTTGAGATCCAGGCTGCGCTCCTCCTTACCTAGCGAGCATCGTTGCAGGATCGGCTGGTTCTAGGCCGCAAGTTGCTACATGGTATCGAGCATCTGCTGCGCATTTGGGGCAGGATTGGTTGGTTGAGGAACAACCTCCTTCTCTCTTGGTGGTGAGTTATCTTCAAATTGATTCATGGATCTGGTGGTGATCGCGATTGATTCAGCAAATTAAGTGTTTAGAAGTGAAAATTTTGTCGTTCCCACAGACGGTGCCAATCTGATGATGCACAAAATTGGTTTGCACATTATCTGTCAATTAAGTAATATAAAATGCAGTAAAGTAAAGGGAGAGAAAAGACAATGTTTATAGTGGTTCGCTCAATATAACCTATATCCACTTTGAATGACAAATGTTACCGAAATTTTATTATTTTTGGTATGGAGGGAGAGTACAAGATTACAAGCTTTGAAAGGGGAGGAGAGAATTATGCTTAAATGAGTCTGATGCCCTCAAGTGTTGGTGGAACTTATAATTTATAGTTACCTGCATAGTAATTGGATGGGTAGTATGACGGTCATAAAGGATCGGGTGACTTTAAGAGTAATTAAATGGTTTGACGACCTCTCATCTCGTCAACCGATAAGAAAATTATGATGCACTCCAAATGACTTGGTCAATAGATGTGGGAAGGTTGATTCTCTCCAGGTCGTGAGGGATAGACTCCCGGATGCTTCTTTGGTGGTGCAGCTCCTTAATGGGCTTGACTGGTCTTGGATCTCATAGAGCCTGTTGGGTCTTCTATAGGCTTTAGCTTTACCTAAGGATCCATCAAATATGTTTATTGTTTATTATTTTTTATTATTTTGTACCTTTAACTAATTTTAAATGTGAGGAAATTTAGGGTGCAATTTGGGATTAAGCCTTTATTTAATCTCAACCAATAGGCTCCCACTTTTACTAGGTAGAATTCAAACAGAATTACAAATGTATGGAGTATAAATATATTCATATCCCGATATTAATTTTTATTAAAATAATGAAATTAAAATTAGATCGAATTCATGTTAAGGCCAAACACAGTCAATTCGTCTAATTCAATAGTTAACATCTAATTAAGCATTAATAACCATCTTTTAATCATTCCTACAAATGCTCAATACACGTGCAACTTCCTCCACCAATTCACTAGCCTCTCTCTCTCTGCATCTTCGTACATGTAAACCTCTGTAGGGAATAGATAATATCTGAACTTGGCTGAACTTATTTTGTTGGAATTGGCCGAGTCGTTGGTGGTAAACCGGTGATGACTCGGCGGTGTTCTCATTGTAGTAACAACGGACACAACTCACGGACGTGTTGGTCAAGAGCAGGAGGTGGCGGTGGTGGCTGTGTGAAGTTGTTTGGTGTTAGACTTACAGATGGGTCTATCATCAAGAAGAGTGCGAGTATGGGGAATCTTTCTGCTCACTACCATTCGTCTTCCTCCGCCGCTGCTTCACCCAATCCGAGCTCGCCGTCGTCGTACCCTCTTCATGACCCAGTTTCTACACCCGATGGATACTTGTCCGACGACCCGGCTCATGCATCTTGTTCCACCAATCGCCGTGCCGAACGCAAGAAAGGTAATCGATTCCGATCGCTGGGTTTTATGAAATTTTTAATCAAATATATGGGTTTTTTTTGGTAAATTAGTGTTGGTTTGATTTGGATAAGGTTCGGTTTGGCTCTCTTAAATTTTGTTTAATTTATTGCTGGAAATGATCATTTATCCTCTATGTTTTTATTCCTTTTTTTATTTGTATTTTGGGTGAAATGAAATTGCATGAATGTGGTGTCTTGTTTTTTGGGTGGAAGACTTTGTCTCATCACCGCTCGTTTTGGGTTTGACTTGCGTCTTTTCTTAATTTTGATCTCATTAGCTATGGATTTCTGAAATGGCTTGTTCGTATTGCTGCGTTCCTTCCATATTTCTCTTATTTTGATGGGTTTTTAGGTATACACACACATAATCATCCTGCTCCTCTGGTTTAATCTTCTTATGGGATTATTAAAGAATTATTGTGTTTTCCATTTTTGTGTGCATTCATTTGTTCAATCAATGTTAAGGGTAAAATGAGTTATTTCAATTAACATATGAAGTCCTTGAATCTTTGGTAGCACTTTCAATCCTTGTCAAGGTGACGTAATCTGTAATCTGCCCCTTCTTTTATGTTAGAGTTCATTCCATCAAATCCTTGGTATTTTTTATATTGGTGCTTTTGCCTTCAATGCTGAGAGGGAGTTTAATGATATTCTGTCTACCTGATAAGAACATTCTACATTAGTAATTAACTAATCGGGAAATCTTAAACTGAATGGTGTGTAAAGAAAGTGGGTCTTATGGTTCTTATTAGGTGTCTAGGTCTCAAGCTTCGCTTTGTGGGGACCTTAAGATAAAGGTTCCGGTTGGTTTTGGGTTTGATTAAACAAGCTTTTTGTGTCTTTATTGGTTTATAGACCGGTTTTATTCCAGAATTGTTTAGGTGTATGGATTTGTTTTACTCTAGCAGAGAATATTGGTTTGAGATTTATGGAGCATGCACTATTCACATGGCAGCGTCTTTAGTAGTCAGTTCATATGTCGGTTAGTTAGTTCAAGTTCCTACCTTGACAAATATGCGAATAACCCATAGAGCATATAAGGTTGAATGCTTAATTTCATAGTCATTTATCTAATACCGCCTACACATTTAGTTCGGAGGAATTGGAAGGTTCTTCAAACACTAGAGGCTTGCCTGTGATGCTATAAACATGGTAGTATCCAACCTTCTAACACAGATAAATATTTAGGTGCTGCCAATGGCTTCTATATAAGGTGATAGATTTTGTGACGAACGTAAATGTTGTTTCAACTTGTACTTTTTTGTTTTGGCATAGCTTATTTATGGTAAGAAACATGTGGAAATGCAATTGTAAAAAGTTGTTCATATTCTATACCTTTTGAAGAATTATTCCCCTAGTTAGACCATTTTTTTCAGGTTATGCTTGTCTTGAAGCAAAGATAGGTATTTAAGAAATCTATACTTACATATGCCATGGACATTCTGCTTGCTTCGTTGGTTCTATTCAGCAACTTCAGTTATTGGCTGCTTTTCTTGCAGCTGCCAAATGGCAAGTTTAGAGAAGACACCTTATCATGTGATAACTGCTCCTGTAGAAAAAACCTCCATTTGAAATCCAGGTGCCCCTGGCTTTGCAATTTGAAGTTACCCGTGTGGCTGGCTTCCCGTCGCTAGAGCATTTTCCTAGTGCACGGAGGTGCCCCAACGAGGAAGGTATTAGTGGTTTATCATTGGGTCACTAATGCTAATCCCTCTTTTTGTGCTACTCCTACTCCTAGGGTGGGAAGAAGATAAGAAAACACAGAGCATTCTCTTGGTTTCCCAACCTGTTGCTTCTAAAGATTCTAAAGATTGCCCTCTCTCGGCTGGATGTTGGTCCAGCCTACTACGAGGATCCCATATCTAGCTGCCCAACCTGTACAAAGGGCTTGCCCTCGTTTTTTCCCAATCAAGTCTTTCATAATCTTCAATCTTACATTTATTGTTGTAGCAGTCAGTAGATCCTTCTCTGAAGACTACTTCCACAATGATTATATTTTTCAAGCTGGGTAATAAAGTTTGGTAGCAACATTTGTGGTACTACTCTTCCTTAATTAATTGGATTTTGTTTGCAGGCATTCCTTGGACAGAAGAGGAGCATCGGCTGTTCCTACTTGGTCTCCAGAAGTTGGGGAAAGGAGACTGGCGTGGTATATCACGAAATTTTGTCACATCGAGGACTGCTACCCAGGTAGCAAGCCATGCCCAGAAGTATTTTATTCGACAGAGTAATGCTACTCGAAGGAAGAGAAGATCCAGCCTTTTTGATATGGTTCCAGATATGGTTCGTCTTACTTCCTTATTCTTCAGACGTATGAATGCTGCATGTGTGCGTGCTTCACATGCATGCAACAAAAACGTGCATACACACACAACCTTTTGGTTCAAAGCAGTCTGCATATCATACATTCATCACTTGGAAGATCACGTCTTAACAAGTTAATAATGCTGAATGACCAAATCGTGAATCAGCTATGCTACTGTTTTTATGTGATGCTTGGTAAATTGGCGATAGTTTCAGTTCCCCTTTTTATATTTTGGAATCCCATTCTTTTCAAAGCTTATATGTGTTTTCATAAAGATAAAGACCAATCATTTTCATCATCCATGACTGGCAGATGTGAACAGTTGAGCAGTTAAATTCTTTCTCTCTCTTGGTTTTATAATGTTGATCAGTATGTTACCTGTCAGACCACAGATCCACCACCAGTGCCTGAAGAACAATTTATGCTCCCTCCGCCTGAAGAAGTAGAAGACGATGATGAGAACTTGCTCCCTTCTTTAAATCTCTCTCTCAGGACCGATTGTGAATCCATGGAAGTGGCTACCCTTGAAATGGTTGAAGAAGCCAATGAAGTTGCAACATCTTCAGCTGAAATTCCACCGGTGATTCCTTCATTCTTTCCGGTTTATTTACCAGTCCCATTTCCGTTATGGCCACCAAATGCAGTGCCCCTTGAAGATGACAAAGGAGCAGATACGTCTCATCATCAGGTTCTAAAGCCGATTGCAATCCTCCCCAAAGATCCTGTCAACGTGGATGAATTAGTGGGCATGTCCCAGCTTAGTCTAGGAGAGACTGAAGCTAACCATATGGTTCCTTCACCCCTCTCCCTAAAATCACTTGGAGAACCTTCAAGGCAATCAGCATTTCATGCAAGCACTCCCGTCAATGGTCAGATATAAGTTAGGGCAAGAGTAGTGCAATCCAAGCAGTTTGAAGTAGGCTTGAAGGAACTGTTTTTTCTAGGCAAATTTTCTTTTTTTACAGTTACATTTTGTTTCATGTTATCCTTTCTATGTTTCTGTAATTTAGTGACTCTCCAAAAGCAAGTTAGATTAATTCATATAGAAATCACTATTCTTTTAACCTTAGACACCTATGAGTTGAAATAATCGCATAACTACTATCTTTTTCTATGTACGATAGAAATGTTACTTGAACCTAATCAATTATAATTGTAATATTGATACTAGATTTTAACACTCCTTGGGGTCTATTGTCAATTCAACGGATGTGATGGATTAGATTAATAAATTATGTTTAAATGAT